ATGCGCCTAAATTGCTCACCCTCAGCCCTCAGCCCTAAGCCGAATACCCCCCAAAGCGCGATACTCTCCTTTTTCCTGGGCTTGGAGTTGCTTTGGGTTTATAAGCATCACCTAAATCCGGCCTGATTTCTGAACTCCTGCACTCGACAGGGTTTAGGGTCTAGGGTCGTTTTTTCTACCCTAGACTCTATAGGCCCTAAGCCCTACACCCTTGCCACCCAAAAAGCCCAAACCTTAATCCCTAAACCCTACACCCTTGCAACCCCGTACCCTAACACCCTAAACTCTTGCAACCCTAAAACCCCAAGATGCAAACAGCCTAAACAAGCCCAAACCTCAACCTAAGCACCGAGAAGCGCCTCCAACCCTGCAAGGCAAAGTTTGGTGCTCAAGGTGTTTAGTTCAGGGTGTAGGGCTTACCCAAAGGCTCCTATGTAGTATCTTGTTGGGGTAGCATACTAAAATCCCCTATAACTAACCCAAAAAGGAACTACATTGGAGCCTTTGGGCATAGGCTTAGGGCATAGGAGTGGCTTGGCCTTAGGGCTTAGGGCTTTCAGGGTTTAAGGCATTTTCTGGTGCTGGAGCGCTCGTTCGGGCAAGTTTCGGGGTTTCACTCTCCCGGCTTGCCGTGGGAGTTTGTCTAAGACTGCAGTGGAAGAAAAACTCAGACTTCGTTTGTCGAAGAACTGAAACGCCCTACCTAGCGAACCCGTAGGGTTTAGGTTTGAGGGTTCAGGGTTGAAGGTTCAGGGTTTAGGGGACCTTCAACCATAAACCCTTAAACCCCAAAACCATGAACGGCCGTCATAGGCCGGGAAGCCCTATGAATAGTTCATGGGAGGCGAATATGGGCCTGAGACCCCTGCATCGTCCTCGTCCTCCGGGTCCGATACGCAGACGCCAAACATAGGCGCTTCCGCACGAAGATCGCGCAGTCCTGGCAGCAGCCCCTTCACGTGTGCGGCGGCCCCTCGCAATTCGGGCAAGAAGAAGAGCGGCTCGTGACCATGGAAGACACCCAAGCGCAAGGCCGGCGCATCCCCATTCGACGATGCCGAAGCGCAGGCTCTTCGTCACGCCGCCCAAACGCGGCAGCGGCAGCGCCTTGCCGGCAGTCTGTGCGACGCAGTCCGACTCGCCATCCCGTGCGCCCCATATCCTCAAGCACCTGTTCTACATGTAGGGGGGCTATAAGTGCCCTTAGTTGGGTAATAAGTCCTACTCTGTAGGATATAGCTCCCTTAACTAAAGTTTGTAAGGGGGCCCCTACATGTAGCTTTCCTTGGTACTTGGTAGCCCAGTGGTACCCTGTCCCTTTTTTGGTTCAGGGTTCCCTTCTAAAGTAACCAACCCCAAAAAGGGTGCCCTTATTGTAAGATGGTTGCAGGGCTATCAAGCTTTTGGTGGTGGACCCACATCTTTAGGGTTTAGGGTGTCGCGTTTCGGGTTTAGGGTTTTTTTTCGGGTATGCGTGTGTGTATTCCTTTTGTTCGGGTTGCAGAAGCATGTTTGGCCTCCATTGTATTCCTTGTAGGTTAAGCACAACAGAGACGGGATGTTCCCCCTTATACTAGCAGTCCTTCATAGGGAGTATCCTAGGGGGTAATCACTATCATCCCTTTCAAGGCTGTTAGTACCAGGGGGAACATCCCAACCCAGACTTTAGATCACCCCCATGTGCGTGCTTGCCCGCAGGTGAAGATGATTGTCATGCAGCGGTTGATCAAGGCCTGGCCTATTCGCCCGACCAACCTAAGAGCCCAAACCCGAAAAACACGAAAAACCCCAAACCCTAAAACCCTAACTGCCCTAACTCTTCGAATAAAAAAGACACCCAGAATAATTGACCTTGATGTACCACAAACTTCAGCCCTGACCTTATAAGCAGGCATCAGCCCTAAACCTTAAACACTACACCCGAACGCTGAACGTTAAGCCCTACAACCCTGAACCCTGTAGCCTAAACCCTAAACCTAAACCCCGTGCCCTGAACCCTGAACCCGGACCCCAAACCAACCCGGGTGTGAAATGGTGTGGTTTAAACTCTCCTGAAATCGAGCGACTCATGCCCGCAAGAAAAACCCAACATGGTGGCTACTCAACACCTTGCCAACGAAGAGTTTAGGGTTCAGGGCTGGCTGCCATAATTAATCACAAGTGTTATCTGACCCCCAAGCTTCAGAAAAATGGGGCCCATGACTATCGCGTTAGACTATTTTGGGGTGTGCTTGTTTTGGTGCGGGGGTGGGGGGGCTGGGGCACAACCAAAGAAGCCAACAATCTCTAAACGTTAAGTACTAGACCTGAAATCAGATCCCTTATGATTCAAGGCTTCCGGCTACTCTAGGTAGAACGAACCATACCCTCTTTGTTTCCGGCACAGGGCTGTCAGGTCTAGAACAGTCCAGCAGAGTCCCTTAACAGTCTTGTAGAGGCTTACATAAACACTTTGCTGTTCATAAGAGGCTTCCGTAAAATAAACCCTAAAGCCCCAAACCCTGAGCCCTAAACGCCAACCCTATATGCTAAAACCCTAGCCCCCCCCCCCCCCCCCCCAAAAAAAAAAAAAAAATGTACATATATATATATATGTATATGTATATATATTTTTTATTTATAAAACACAAATCACTGAAACCTTAAAGCCTAATCCCTAACCCTGAACCCGCCTGTGACTATCCTTTTCCACCTTCTTGCTCCCAGTCTGTTGAGGCTGGGGGTGCCCTGGTTTAGATCTGGGCGTTTTGGGCTTCTATGGGCTCGGGTTTAGGGTTTAAGGTCTAGGGGTGTAGGGTTTAGGGTTTGGCAGAGACCCTCAAGACGGTTCGAGTGCAGGCTGCTGCCATCGGTCACTGGAAGAAGTTATTAGGCAGTGTTGAGAGCACCCTGGATTAGTGTGAAGGTTTATATAGGGTTTAGGGATCAGAGGGCAAAGGCTCCAAAGATGCCTTCCGAAGCCGCCTAGACCTTGAGTGCATGGATAGGAGCTCTTGCCTGAACCCTGAGCCCTCAACCCTAAGCCCGAAACCCTAAGCCGTCCTACGCCATGCATGTGTTTCCATGAGAGGTGGATGGAAAGGTCCGCACGGACATGTTCTACCCGGCTGCTCAGCTGCCACGACCATGTCTGCCCCGGCACTCCCAATCGGGGTACCTTACTGGCGTCCTTAGTATAAGGGATCCTACTATTTGAGAATCTAGATTGGGGGGGTCCCCTATTTTCGTCTCTCTCTCTCTCTCTCTGTCTCTCGCTCTCTGTCTCTCCCACCCTCGCTATCTCTCTCTTTCACTCCCCTCTCCCTTCTCCCTCTCCCTCTCCCTCTCTCTCTCTCTCTCTCTGTCTGGCAGACCCAGACCGACATCTGCCCATGGACCTTAGCCACCCTTTGGATGTCTCAGCCCTTGCGTATACCTTGGGGATCACATGAAACCATATACCCTCGTAGGCATGATAGTCGCACAGGATAGATGATCCCTTGGGGTCTTAGGGTAGTTTTATGTATGTACATGGTCCCTGAATATGGGCCCTTAAAAGGGTATATACCCAACACACATGAAGGGCCCATGCATCAGAACCCTTTACGGGGGGTAAGGGACCTAAATAGGAGGGGCCGCCTTATAATAACGACCCAAAAGGGACCATAGTTTAGAGAAATCACCTATAAGGGGTCCCAGTACTATACCAACTTAATTAAGGGACTCAAAAACCTGAATAGTGGGACTTATAACCCAAGTAAGGGCGCTTATAACCCTCCTTATAGCTAGGGGCCCCCATACGTGTAGCCCTAAACCCTGAACCCTAAACCCTATACCCTAAGCCCTAAACCCTAGGCCCTAAACCCTGACATGTAGGCTCTATAAGGGGTCCCCTGTTTTAAGAGCCCATATGAAGGGGCCATGTATACTGTCTTTGTGATCCAGTGGTACCCCTGACTCTTTTTTTGGGCTTCAAGGCTCTCTTATAAAGTACCATCTCAAAAAAAGAGTGCCCTTGTTGCAAAATGGTTGCTGGGCTACCAAGATATAGCCCCTTACCTTCTAGGGGTAAATGGAGTACCCATTTCAGGGCCCAGACGAAGGCACCATGTAACTCCCCCTCAGATTTGGGATTCGATGCCTTTAGGGTTTGGGTTTAGGGCTCAGGGTTTGAAAGCATTGGGCTCAGGGTTTGAAAGCATTCTAAACCCTAAACCCTGAACCGTAAACCCTACACCCTAAACCCTAAACCCTAAACCCTAAACCCTAAACCCTAAACCCTAAACCCTAAACCCTAAACCCTAAACCCTAAACCCTAAACCCTAAACCCTAAACCCTAAACCCCAACCTGTCGGCTCATCCGCCCAGGCTGGCTTCATGGATGTCGCGCGGGCCTTTGCTTGGACTCGTAGGGTTTAGGGTTTACGGTTTAGGGGGTTCTCTGAAGCGGGCTGGGGTTCAGGGTTTGAAGGGCTTTGGGCTTGTTGGCCTTTTGGGTTTACAGTCTAGGGTGTAGGCTTTGAAGTTCTTAATTAGGGCGTATTTGGTTCAGGTTTTAGGTTGAGAGGTATCTGATTCGCAATGCAGGTTACCAGAACTCGTCACACCCGCCCACGAACCTTCAAGCGAATCCTGTAAACGCTACGTAAAGGCTTGCGGAACCTCTCCTTGCCGGCGTTTACTTGAGTTCCTTTTTGTCAAGTTTGTAGTATGTCAACCCAAAAGCATCTTACCCAAATCACCTAGTAGGGTTTAAGAAAGTGCCATCATCCCCTACACAGGGGCTAGGAACATATAAGGCACCTGATGCCTGTATTTCTTGCTTAAACAGCATCAGCAAGACAAGCCTCAAGTACATCGCAGATCGGGGAGGGGCAGGGCTTTGGGGGTTTAGGGTTTAGGGTTTAGGGTTTAGGGTTTAGGGTTTAGGGTTTAGGGTTTAGGGTTTAGGGTTTAGTCTTTTGATGTTCACCCAGGGGGCTCCGAGGCAAACGATGGACTTTAGCTTGTCCATTGGTTCCATGTCGCCACAGTGGCCACGTCCCAAGGGGTTATCCTAAACCCTGAACCCTAAACCCTAAACCCTGAACCCTGAACCCTAAACTCCTAAACTTTGAGGTAACGACCATTCTGAGGTGCAGATTGAGAAGACAAAGGAGAACTTCCGCCTCCTCTACAACACCAAAGGCATCTGCACAAGCATGAGCCTGGCTGGGGTGAGAGATCTACTTATCACACACGAGAATAAGCAGAATAAACAGCAGATTCATGCTTTCTACTTCCATTATCATCATCACCACCATATCTCATCATTACACATGTTAAAGTGGGGGCCTCCAAGCCCGGCGCCTCCCCCACACCCCACAGATGTTCAAGCATGCATCTATGGTGTGTGCCTGCTGTTGGGGTTCGCCCCTGAACCCTCAACCCGAAACCCTGGCCCTAAACCCTAAACCCTATAAACCCTAAATTTGCGCCCAGCTGCCCCCCCCCCCCCCCCCAACTTAGTTTCTCCCAAAGCCTTGGAGCTCCCAGGGGGTGCCTCGACCCAACGCCTGTTACAGAGGGGAAGGACTGTGAACACAACTGATTCCCCTACTATCTAAGGTTGGAACCATGGGCCCTTAGTATGGTCCCTTACCCTTGTTTAAAGGGATTAAAGGGATCCGAAGTATGGGCCCCTTATTATGTACAGTGCTTGTAACAGCATATAACAAGTGACCCAAATTCAGGGCCCATACTTCGGATCAACGATATATTGCCGTCTGTACTACCCCCGTCGGTTGCCCCCCCCAACAATTAAGGCTATGTAAGGGAACATTAAGCCTAACTAGGTTTATTTGAGAGGGAACCTAGGGAGGGGGGGTAGTATAGAGGGGGGTAGTAAGGAAACCCATGATATTTTCTGCAGAAGAACCCCTCCAAACAAATGGAACGTGTTCTTCCTAATAAGTGTGATATATAGGGATGATTATCTTTACTTGTGGGTCGTTCTTAAACAAATAGTATTTTGTAGAGTCTAGAGCATCTAGAGGGCAGGGTCGATAGGGCTCATCATAGTTCAGGGATCTTGGGATAGGTTAAGCCTTAAACCCTAAACCCTAAACCCTAACCCTAAACCCTAACCCTAAACCCTAAACCCGAAACCCGAAACCCTAAACCCTATACCCTAAACCTAAACCCGAAACCCTAAACCCTAAACCCTAAACCCTAGGTTTATAGGCTTATCGAGGCTTAAGGGAAGCCAAGACGTTCTGCGCTCTCGTCGAGGCCGCTTCGTGCTGCATAAGGTGGCCAAGGAAGAGGCCTGCGAACACGCTGCGGGGTTTAGGGTTTAGGGTTTAGGGTTTAGGGTTTAGGGTTTAGGGTTAGGGTTTAGGGTTCAGGGTTCAGGGTTCAGGGTTGAGGGTTCAGGGTTATGGTTTAGGGTTTAGGGTTTAGGGTTTAGGGTTTAGGGTTTAGGGTTTAGGGGCCCTAAACCATAAACCCCAGCTCCCTGCAGGTGCAGGGTTCGAGAAGACACAACTTACGAACCTCGCGCCCTGTACTCAAAATTCTAGATAACAGTACTGAACCCGAAACCGCAAGAGCCAGGCGGGCTACAAGCTCTGCCGCGTGAAGCGCGTGACCCGAGGCGCGTGCCCTAAACCCTTAAATCGTTTGGCCCCATTTGGGGTTTAGGGCTTGGGGTTTGGGGTTTAGAGGACTTCTAAGCCGCCTAATCACATAGCCCGAGACCCTAAAACTCCTAAATCGCCAAAGATCTAGGTTTGAGAATTGAGATTTTTGTCGGGGGCCGGGGGGGGGGCGAGTTTAGGGTTTCGGCCCCTCCCGCCTGACCCGATGCAGGGCTTGGGCTTAGGGTCAAGCGTCTGTTTTGGTTTAGGGACTCGCCTGCAAAGGTTTGCATTCACAAGCACTTTTTCCAAGGTTTAGCACACTAAGGGTGGTTGAGGGGTGGTAGTGCTGATGCCCTAAGGGTCCTAGGGTTTAGGGTTTAGGGTTCAGGGTCTTGGGTATATCGACGGATCCCATGTATGTTCTACCGTAAGGCAGGGGAACTTCAATTGAGGGACCGTAGCACTATAGCCGATTTAAACCCTAAACCCTAAACCCCTAAACCCTAAACCCTAAACCCTAAACCCTTTCAGGGAGTCGAGCTCTTAAACCTTCTAAGGGTAGTTACATCTCGTAGAATGGTCCCTTAACGGGTTCTGAAAGATGGGCCCTTGGGTTTATGGGGTATAAAAGGGGCCCGTTTAAGGGGCCCTTATTCAAGGACCGTGAAACTACCCTAACCCCAAACCCCAAGCCCTAAGCCCTAAGCCCTAAACCTAAACCCTAAACCCTAAACCCTTCATGACTTCGCCGATGCCAGGCCCCCGCGGCACGCCCTACGCCGTCACCCATGACGGCCGGACGATTCGCTTCCCAGATCCTGATGTGAAGGTGCCCGAGCGTACTAAACCCTAAACCGTAAACTCTAAACCCTAAACTCCCAGGTCCTTGAGGGCTTCTTGTCCCCTCCCTGCACCGCTTGAGCGGCGGAATTCTATGCTCGAATTGAGGGTTGTTTTGGCTCAAGTCCTGCCCGTTAGCACGTCCCATCTCCTCCATCCAGGACGAGAAGAGAGCGATGAGCTGGAGTGGTTCGGAGAGCATGTCCTGCGACGAAGATGTCCTCGCAACGCCACCCACGCATTTCGAGATGAACATCAGCTTGCGGATGCCCTCTGGCAAAGCAATCCCTCTACGTGTTGATTCGCACGGGCGCACGGACTTCATCATGCAGCAGGCCTTGCAGCAGATCCCTGGAGGTCATAACAGGTTTCCGCAGCTGATCCTCAACGGGAAGATGTTGGGGAGCTGTGCCTGCATCTCAGCATGCGGCATCACTGAAGGCAGTGAGCTGAACCTCTTCCTTTGTCATGACCCCCCGAATGGTCCTGGCGACATGGAGGGAGCGCCTCAGTGTTTCGGGTGCCCCGTCTGTGATGAGAGTGATGAGCAGTCGCCCTCCTCAGACATCACCATGCACTGCTGAGAAACGTTCCCCACATCAAGGCTCACTTGGAGCCCATGTAAAGCCAAATGTAAAGATCTCTTGTCTGATCTCTTGTCTCCCACCACGGAAGACTGAGTGATGCCGATGAAGAGCCCCAATTTTTTCAGGTGGCCTCCGTGCCTCCGAGCACTCACTTGGGGCTCCCACTCTTCTGGCTTCTCTCACCCCGGGCGGTTCTGCTAAACCCTAAACCCTAAACCCTAAACCCCAAACCCTAAACCCTAAACCCTTATGCTACTCTTTGAACTCCCGTGTATAGATGAGGAAGTCTGCCTGCGGTCGTAGTTGCCCTACAAGTAGGGGCCCCCGAGTTCAACATAGCCTTAAATTGGGTTATGAGTCATATTGTTTGGGTTTAGGGGTTTAGGGTTTAGGGTTTAGGGTTTAGGGTTTAGGGTTTAGGGTTTAGGGTTTAGGGTTCAGGGTTCAGGGTTTAGGTTATAATTCCCCTAGCTAAAGTTAGTACAGTAATAAGGGGCCCCCCCTACTTGTACAAGTTGTACATTGTACAGCAGCAATGGTGACAGCAAAACCTGTGGCTGGAAAGTGCCAGGCGAGTGGACTGGGGCTTAGGGTTGAGTTATGTCCACGAGAACGAGACTCCTGATTGTTACCTGGATCTTCGGGTTACTTGGGAAGAATTTGCCAATTTTAGGCACTGTACTTCCCAAGAGAGAGCTAGATGTCTAGTTTTTGTTGGGGCGCCGAGTTCAATTTAGCTGACTTCCTCTTGGCAAGCTGAGATGTGGGATCTTGTGTTGTAGCTCCTGAGTCGAGTCCTCAAAGCCCTATAGTAGAAGCCAAAAAGTTGGAAACTCAATAGCCTCAATCCCTAAGAGTAAGTATAGGGAATCCCAGCACGATTTGTCCTTACAAAGGTTTCCAACTTTTTTGGGTTTACTGTAAGCCCTAAACCCGAATCCAAAAAAACCTAAACCCTTCAAACTTTTTTCGGGTGAACATTTTTGGGGTCCTTGTTATCAAGGAATCCTTCTATTTGGGGGTCTATGTTCGGGGTCCCTATTTTTCCGCAATCCCCCGTGTCATAGGCGCCAGTGTCTTGCAAGACAACCTCTAGGAGTTAAAGAAATCAGAAAAGCATGTGCAACAAGAGTTGAAGTTGAAGTAATGGCAAGTTTCCAGATTTAGATTTAAATTCGGTCGGAAAGGTAGCCAAGTGAAAGCATACAGTGAAATTGGAATCAAGGCAGACATGTAGCCAGCTACAACTTGCTTGGTCTTCTTCCTTCGGGCTCTTTTGCTCTATGTTTGATCTTGTTGGCGTTTTGCATGAACTGCCTCCCTTTTCGCTTAAGCTCCATCATGTGGCTTGCCTGCTTGAAGCAACGAACTTTAGGGTTTATAGGGTTTAGGGTTTAGGGTTTAGGGGTACCAGCTCCATGTGGCTGCAGATCATCATCACGGGTTCAAACGCAGCCATCACGAAAAAGATGGCACCGTTGAAAAGAGTAGTCCTTACCCAGGCAGTGGCTGATTCTGTCAGGTTTTAGGGTTTATTAGGGTTTAGGGTTTAGGGCTGGGTTTAGGGTTTAAAGGGTTTAGGGTGTAATATCTTGGTAGCCCAGTGGTGCCCTTTTCCCGCTTTTTTGGGTTCAAGGCCCGCTTATAAAGTATCCAACCCAAAAAGGGTGCCCTGAGTATGTGATGGTTACGGGGCTACCAAAGATTTCGTGTTCAGCATCAGACCTTCTTTTCTCTCTCCCGTTTTGAAGGTTGGTGTCAAAGTTTCAACTACTGGGCGCTCGAGACTTCTGGGAACCCTAGACCCTAAGGTTTAGGGTTTAGGGTTTAGGGTTGAGGGTTTAGGGTTTTTGGTTTAGGGTTTAGGGTTTAGGGTTTAGGGTTTAGGGTTTAGGGACTCCTAACACCTAATACAAAAAGTTCTTTCAACTCCACCAAATTCCTGCAAGACCGGGTCGGGCAGCTCGGGCTTCGAGTGGTTTGACGTGACGATCTTCCTCTGAACGACACCCCAGAGACTCCTGATCCATCTAAGGAACCCTCCTATGTTTTTAAGGGGTTTTCCTGAATTCAGTAATATTCTTTCAGCCATATAAGGAACCCTTATATATTTTGAGAGATATTCGTTAATTGAGGTGTGGATTGGAGTCCCTGGGTTTCATCGGGCACTTGATCCGCTTCTTGAACGTAAGCCAGGAAAGCAAGGGAACCCTTGTTTTTTTTTGGGCGGGGTGTTTATAGGGCTTGTGTGGTGCTTTTTCTCTTCAAGGGGCTTCTCGGCTTTATGGGGCTTCTAGGGGTTTATAGAAAGGTTTTTGGGAGGGTTTATCTTTCTCCTTCCCAGGCCAACGACACCGTCCGGCTGGAATTGGAAACCGGCAAGGCGCCCTGTGTTTAAAGCCTCTACAAGGAGGGGCCCCCTTACTATACCAACTATAGTTAAGGGACTTATAACCTAATTTAGGATCCTTATAACCTAATTTAGGGTCCTTATAACTCTACTTATAACTAGGGAGGCCCGTCCTTGTAGGTGGAGGTTCATGGGACTGATTAACCATGTATATCTGTACGTCTCTCCCACTTATAAGGTCCTTAAGTGCCCTAATATGGTTAGAAGTACAGTTATAAGCTATAACTGGTTAAGAAGTATCATGAACCTCTGAGCAAAGCCCTATAAGCCCCGTAAACCTCATAAACCCGATACACCCTGTCAATTTCCCTATAAGCCCCGCAAGCCCCGTAAACCCTTTTCTTTTGCCTGCAGCGGTTCAGAACCTTCAAGCACGGGATCTTGAGGTGTTGGGGCATCACACGTTTCAAGTGTTGGGGTTTAGGGCTTGGTGGGGTCAACTTGGGCTGAAAGCGCCTAAACCCTAAACCTGAAACCTGGAAACTCCTCCCTCGTAAGTAAGTCCTCCTTAAGTCCCTACGCCTCCGACAGATCATGGACCACTTGAAGTTCGAGGTCGGCAACACGGCGCTTTGGCTCGGTTTAGGGTTTAGGGTTTAGAGTTTAGGGTTTAGGGTTTAGGGGTTAGGGTTTAGGGTCTAGGGTTTAGGGTTTAGGGTTTGGGGTGGTTTAGGGTTTGGGGTTTAGGTTCTTGGCGGTTTGTACGGGGGGCTCGGCAATTGCAACCTAGAAATTACAGGCCCGATAAACCCGTCGACCCTTTGACCCCCTCTAAGCTCTATATACCCATAAACTCCATACCGATGCCACGACCGACACTCGGCTTCTGCAGAAGCAGCAGCTGTGCCAGGTCGTTTAGGGTTTAGCGTTCAGGGTTTAGGGTTTAGGGTTTGGGGTTTAGGGGTTAGGGTTTAGAGCCACACCTCAGCAATAAACTGGCTTGGGCGAGGTTCGACTCCGGCACCCCGCCAAGTGTATCCAAACGGTTTAGGGTTCAGGGTTTAGGGTTTCGGGTTTAGCGCTTAGGGTTTAGGTTTTAGGGTTTAGGGTTTAGGGGTTAGGGTTTAACCCTAAACCCTAAACCCTAAACCCTAAACCCTAAACCCTAAACCCTAAACCCTAAACCCTAAAGGGTTTGGGGTTCAAGGTCCGGTTCAAGGTTCCCTTACCAAGGAACCAGCACAAAAGTGGGGGCCCTTATTATGGTATGGTTACTGGGCTACCAAGTCAAACTGAGTAGCATGCGAAGGGCGCCGACTTCTTTTTAAGGAGTTGCTGGGGCGGGGGGGGGGGGGGGGCACAGCTACGCTTCTGATCATCACCTTAAGTAGGACCCAGACTAGGCCCTCATTGCACCTTTTTTTGGGGTGTAGGGTGGCCTTTTGGGCGCATGTCAAACAAGAAAGGGCACCTTCTTCAAGGCTAGCCTAAACCCTGAACCCGGCACCCTAAACCCTAAACCCTAGCCCTAAACCCTAAACCCTCGTAGGTTACTCTTGGTTCTAGTTAAGGTGATGATCAGCGGCGGAAACAACATTGGCCGGGTCGGCACCATCACACACCGCGAGAAGCACCCCGGTTCTTTCGAGATCATCCATATCAAGGCCCGGGCTCAGGGTTTGGGGTTTAGGGTTAGGGTTGTTTAGGGTTGAGGGTTTTAAGGTTTGGGGTTTTGGGGTTTTGGGGTTTTGGGGTATGGGGGTTTAGGGTTGAGGGGTTTAGTGTTTAGGGTTTAGAGGTTTAGGGTCTAGGGTTACCTTGGGATGTTCTGTGTTACTCTAAAAGTCCTTAATGGGGGATTGTAGTACACCCTATTCTAATCCCTTTTAAGGACTGTTAGTATAAGGGCAAGCATCCCAAGCTTAGGGTTATCTAGGGTTCCTGGGATCTGATCAAAGAGCCAAGGTCAACCATATGCGGGTTGCATAGGGCACGAAAGTACTGCACAAACCTTTGTTGCATGGCTGTTATGTCTTTTTTTCTCACATAATGTATGCTACCAAAAACTGTCCACACATTGATTGCATGTCCATCCCAATTTGTTCCCTGGCAGCCCTGGAACTTCAAAGTAGTTTTTGCTTGACACTTGACCAGGGGGGGGGCTAGGTTTAAGGTGCGTAGTGTTTCGGTTCTCAGGTTCGGGTTTAAGGTCGGTTTCCCGCAGGGTTTGCGGTTTAGCGAATGGGTTTTAGGATTTGCAAGGGTGGTAATACTTTGTGGGTTGAGACAGTTCAAAGATTACGGCTGAGGGGCTGAAATGGCTAGGAGCTAGTGGGGAGCCTGTGCCGTAGGTTTAGGGTTTAGGGTTTAGGGTTTAGGGTGTAGGGTCTAGGGTTTAGGGTTTAAAGTTTAGGGTTTAGGGTTTTGGGTCTCCCGACAACGTTTGGCATAGAAGCCTTCGGCTGTTTCATTGAAGGTTCGAAAGTACCCACGGTAAGGGTTGTACCTTTTAGAATGTGCATATGTATGTTTGTATATATGCATACACATGCATGAATTGCATGCATGCATCCATGTATGCATTATGTACTATAACACAGAGTATGCATTCAACAGCAACAGAATGCCCTCTAATGTAACAAGATTT